AGGTGATGTTTTTGCCGAGTAGCATATCCAAAGAATAAAGTTCAGACAGGTCTACCCTATAATGGCCATTAGTCATTTGATACAAGCATTTTAATCGATACTGCTGATATCTTTGAAATAAAGATGGTAAATTAGGTCTGGTTAAAGGTTCAGTTTTAGAAGTACGTCCAAAGTCGTCATATATAAAGCGGGCGACCTTTTCCTGCACACGATAAAAAGTCATAATGTTAATCTTAGCGAATTAATTCCCATGGTAGCCAATCTAACGTTGGAAGTACTATAATTTTATATGAAGGAGACGCAAAATATTGGTAAAAAGTTTTATTTCCGTTTTATGAAAGAACAACGTTATAAGAGCATTAGATCTTGCGTAGTAAATCTGTTTTGTCCAGGTAAGATTACGAGTAATCCACAGTTGAATGTATTTATATTATGTTACTTCAGATAGATAGATATTATTAGTATTGTAAACACATTTCAATTGACTTTTTTGTGAGTAATTCTCATGAACCCCGGTTTTTCTCATTTTTTTAGTTAATGGTAATTTGTTACTCCGTACACCATGTCGCAATATTCTTAAAAGCCCTGTTTTGTAATCGCTGATTCGAAGTACAACCCATTTCTGAGTAGATGATACAGTCATCAGCATATAACTTGAATTGCACCGGCACATCTTGTACAATGTCATTGATAAATAACAAGAAGTGGTCCCAGTACAAAGCCACGGGGAACGGCAGAGTCAACAGAACGCATGTCAGAACAATGATCACCAAAAACTACGATTGTCGACGGTTGAAAGATGCGCTGAAATCCATCCGACTAACTATGTGTTTTGACATATTTTATTTTTTCTTTAATTTGTACAATAACTTTTATGAAAAACCTTGTCAAATTCTTTCAAAAATTCCATAAAAATAGCGTCAATTTGTTTATTGTTTATATCCGAGGAGAAGTCGTGAAAGGTTTCAACTAATTGAGCGCATGCTGATGAACCTTTCCTGAATTCATGCTAATGATCAGTTAAGATATTGTACTCGTCTAGAAATTCTGATAAATTATTATGTATTATGTGTTCAAAACGTTTGCGGGCAGTTGAAGCTGACACTACCTGTTTCCGTTTTTTTTTTTTTTTTTTTTTTTTTTAATTGCCTGACTTTGGCAGTTCTCTAGTTGTCGGGAATTTGACCCTGGCACAGTGATTTTAAAAACAAAACGAGCAAGTGCTTTCAGGCCCATTCAGCATACTTTAATAAAAATTAGTTTGGAACCTTTTCAGGACCGGAAAATTTCTTAACATCCAGTTTCAAAAGGTATATTCAATAAATCATGTTCACCTCATTTGAATATAAAACTTTGCCTTCCTTTTTTTTTTAATCTTTTAAGTCGATTGCTTGTACTTGATGCAAATTGAACATGTAGAAAGGAGAAAGCATTTGGCAAAATATTTTTGTTCCAAAGTTTTTCGCCATTAAAGCTCATTGATATTTTTAAACATACCTCAGTCTAGTAGTCGGGCCAAGTAGACGAGAAAGAATACACAAATATAAGACGAGCAGTTATACCAGAAACAGTGTAATTAGAGGTAATGCTCGCTAAGCGTCCGATATTGGCGCGCGGTTCACAGCGCATGCTTGAAACAAACCCCACTTATCCTGTTTATCTTAAGCAAAAGAAAAAAAACATTGTGATGTGGAATGCATGTTGTTTAGCAGCATGCATACAATCTATATGTCGTTGTGCCTGCTTCTCGTTCGTTCAGCTTGTGAGAGAATTTAGTGCCTCTACAGAGTCATTTCGGGAAATGCGCGCTTTCCTTCCCCGGCGATGATTGCCGGTGGAAATTGATATTGCGTAGAAACTGGCTGCGATTAATCTGTTCCCCATTTGACTGAGGTTGGCTGTCCCTTGGGAAGCCGCGAAGCGCGGTGTGTATATACTCCTGTTCGTCAGTTCAGCATCAGCTCCTACAATTTATTTATTTGAAACTAAAAGCGAACTTCGTAATTTTCTGAACACTGGTGTCGTCTAAATGAATTGCAGACTTCGGGAGTGTATCGCCAGGTATCGGCCGCATTAGAGACGTTTGAGCTACCTGTCGACGATGGAAGAGATTAAAGTGGCTCGATCGAAGGAGAAGACTCTGCAAGATAATCAGACATTGTTGGAATGCAATAAAATATGCAATAAACGTGCGTTTTTTTTTTTTGTTTTTTGTTTTTTTTAATATTCGGCGCAGCGATTTTCTAGGATGACTAAAAAAAAGAAAACAATCACTCTGTACGATTCTTTTTTCTTGGTTTGCAGTTCGAATCACTTTAGACCGAGCCATTTTGACCTAGTCCATTTTATTCGACACCCTCTTGGCAGTCATCACAGGTCTTTGAGTTTCCTTTTGGCTAAACTTGTGTTGTTTTTTTCTTTTTTTTTTTTTTCTATGCACGTATGTTTTCCCTCGCTCGTTTCCGTCCCTCTCGTGTGTGCGCCATTTGACCAGAATGTCAGAGCTTGCTCAATATTTCCTGCACAAGCGTTCCTTTTACTCCATATCTCGACGTGACGCGTCACTGGGACGATAGACACGTCAACTGCTCCTATCTAACCTCGCGTTGTGTCACCGTGACTCACGCCTTCTGTTCGACCCTGCATAGCCTCCTCTGTACTCACAAAGCCTGGCAGTTCGACGACGGAGCCATGGAGTGCCCGGTCGCAGATTTGGAGCGCGAGGATCTGGTAGCAGAGAGCGTTTCTCGGGGAACCTGGTATTCAGCGCACAGCTTTTGCAGTGGCGAGGCCCCAAAACATGGTTTTCACACCCGACGAGAAGAGAAGCGGTAGCGCGAGCTACGCGAGGAGCACGAGCGGACATTCCATCGCTCGGGAGAAGTGTGTTTCGGCGTCTCGCCGCAGCGGGGCGTCCGTCACCTGACTCTCCTAAACTCTAGACTCTCCCCTTACCGCTCATTCACACTGGAAGCGGATCCGCGTTCGCAAAGCGGTTGCGAACGCGGTTGTATAAAGATCCAGTACAATTGCACGCGCACCTGATGTCATCGAGTGCGCGTGCAATTGTACTGGATCTTTATACAACCGCGTTCGCAACCGCTTTGCGAACGCGGATCCGCTTCCAGTGTGAATGAGCGGTTAGACTCTCTTCTCATCCGTTGTCTGCCGCTCTTACCTTTTCAATTTCGGTGGCCGTGTCTCGTGGCGATCTGCCAGGCTTTGTCTGCATAGAGGAGGCTATGGCCAAAGCCGCCTCCACGCGGGTGCTGCACGTACTTGAACGCAGGGAGACACTCGCTTGATCGAATGACGTTTTAGCGAACGCCGACGTTTCTTTCACCGAATGACACTTTAGCAAATAGTCGGCCGCCGCGAAGCGGTGTTTATGGGTAAACCAAATGGGCTAACTTTTTTTTTTTTTTTTTTGGTGGGGGAGAGGCAGGCACGTAGTCAGGATTTTCTTTCGGGGGGGGGGGGGGGGGGGGCGCCCATGACAAAATGCTGTATAAGGGGGAGGGGGGAGAGTAGGCCCCAGCAAAATGGAAGATTTCGGGGGGGGGGGGGGGCGCTCCCCCCCCCCCCCCCCCCCTGGCTACGTACCTGCGGAGAGGGATAACACGCACCCCCGTTATTCGCTAAAACGTCGCTGTTCGCTAAAACGTCATTCGCTCGTGCGTTGAAAGCATGGGGCACCAGTCAGGACGCCATGGAGAGGTATTCTCGTGCGAGAACGTTTTTCCTCACGCCAAAGCGAACCGTCCCCGTCCGCTCTCACGACTCATGCACGTGTCGGTGCGGGGATACCATGCGACTATTGTAACCACGCAGCGATTGCATGGGGCGTAGGTTGGAAGAGTGGAACTCGGATTTGCGTATCTGTGTACGTTTGTTAGGGGGGGGGGGGGGGTATTATTTCCTGTATAGAAAAAAAAAAAGAAAAACAGCTTTCACTAAAGTGCGCAAGCATTATATTACCCGGCGTTGAAAGTGGAAACCGCGCTGGCCCGACAAAAGCCTTCCTTCCGATTGGGACTATCACGAGGGAATACGATACATCTGATTGTCGGCTCAACTTTGTTTTACCCTTTCGTCTTCCCCAGAGTTTTGGCGTGGCCGTCGCTTGCTTGCGAGCGGTGCTTGCGTGCGCCCGACGCTTCATT